GGGGGCTGGCGGGGGGAAACTACCTGAAGTGGGTCGTGTGTTCTCTTGATGCCAATGATTCTTGTAGTTGATATGACGGCGGTAGAGATGGGGTTAAATATTGTGACACGTAAGGAGACGAGGGCAGATCTGCAAACGGAGTAACTGTCTCGCGCGACTCAGATTGTGGTCAATACAGTACTGCGCTAATGGGATCCGTGCGCTATCGTCCTCTCGCGTCTTAGCGCTCAGCCTTTGCGCGTATGAGGAATAGTGGATGGTCCTCCTCACTTACATTTCGTTAATGAATCACTGTCCCAGTAAGTTCTTCTTGCGCTGCGCAGGCAATTTACCCTCTTCGGGGTTCGTCTTCGGGCTTTTCCAGTGGAACTGGAACCGTGGATTGTTTTCTTAAGAGACATCGGCGCACCTCCTCGTCTTTCTGTCCTATCTTTCGACCCAAAGAGATGATAGATGCGAAGCGGAACCATTCCGGAGGACCTTATCATCAACAAAGTGGTGGGGATTCATCTATCATCTGGTGATGGGGATTCATCTACCATCTGTTGATGGGGATTCATCAACCATCTCTCCCTCTGATTAGAACGAGAAGCTGCAGCGGAGAGGGGGAGAGAACAAGAATGGGAAGACGAAAAGACCGGGACGAAGAGTAGGGGGATAAAGAGCAGGCGGAAGAGGAAGAATAGGAGGAAGAAGATGTGAAGGAGGGAGAAGGAGAAGGAAGGAGCAGAGCGAAGAAGTAGGAGTAAGAAGAAGGAAGAGGAGGAGGAGGGGAGGACGAAGGGGTTTATTCTCTTGTAGTCTCTCTCTCTCTCTCTCTCTCTCTCGGTCTCTCTCGGTCTCTCTCGGTCTCTCTCGGTCTCTCTCGGTCTCTTTCTCTCTCTCTTTCTCTCTCGGTCTCTCTCTCTCCCTCTCTGCCTAGCTCTCTTTCCCTCTCTTCTCCTGTATTGGTCAAGGATTTCTTCTCTATCATTAGATTGCTGCTTTCTGTTTGTCGTGGTTTGCTATCCCGTCTGCTCTTTTCAGCGAGGCCTTATTCTCCTGGACAACCGCTCTTACACTATTGGCTGAGGTTTTCCTCCCTTCCTATTGAATTGAAGGTCGTGGCTATGGCCGCCATGACCCTTTCAGCTTCTCACAGCTGACAGCTGGACGGTCGAGTTTTTTTTTTTTTTTTTGGTCTTTCTAGTGAGCTCGTTTTTTGTATTTTTGGTCTTTTTATTGAGCTCAAGAGGTGTCTTTGCGCAGAGTGCGACAATCTGGTTGCTGAGTGTGATATAGGGGTTTTTGACCGAGCTCCAAGCCTCTCGCGAAAGCTATGGTCCAATGCTTGCAGGTTATGGGTCGAGTAGGCCCCAAGTGATGAACGAAGAACATAGAGAGTGTCGGCACAGGGAAGGAGGTTGTGATTCCAGTCTCCTGCGCACAAGCAGCAGCAGCAGCAGCAGCAGCAGCAGAAGCAGCGGAGGCAGCAGCAGCAGCAGCAGCAGCAGCAGCAGCGGTTACCTTGAGTCAGGCCAGTTTCTGCCAGTTCATTTTGTGCAGGCTGCAGTAGTGAACACCTGCGCTTGCCGGTTGGCAGCAGATCTAACAGGTAGGCGATTGAACCCTCAAGATCCTTATCGCCACCACCTCCCTCTCACTGTTGCTCTCGTGCCTCCAAGAAGGAAGAAACGAATACGCGGGAAGAAGCAAAGGAAAAGGAGGCTAGGAGGAGGAGGAGGAGGAGGAGGAGGAGGGCGAAGCCGACAAAAACGGCGACCATAGCGTCAGCTTCGATCGGAAGGAGGGCCCAGGAGCTGCAGCAGCAGCAGCAGCTGGAGCAGCAGCGGCGAGTGTACGAGGAGGACACAGACGACGAGGAGACAGAGGACGAGGAGGAGACAGAGGACGAGGAGATCGAGGAGCAGGAGGAGAAGGGGGAGGAGGAGGGGGGGGGGGAGGAGGAGGGGGGGGGGGAGGAGGAGGAGGAGGAGAAAGTGGTGCAGGAAGAAGTGGAAGGACGGGAGGAAGAAGGGTGGCCTGGGCCGCCGTCGTACCGAGCCCTGCAGCCGCAGCAGAGGAAGGTGTCGGCTATGGCTGATAGCATGGTGATGGGAGGAGGGGGTGTAATGGTTGGGTGTGGAGCAACAGCAGCCGTTGGCGGGATGATGACCGTAGTAGGTAGCTCGACTCCAGGACCCCAAGGGCACCCGGCCACCTTCGCCCCCAGCACGCCTCGAATGACCTCTTCTTCTTTCCATCATCAAGTACATTATTTGGAATGTCAACGAAATTTGGCGGCTTCTGTGGGCGGCTCTTCCGTGGATGGGTGCGGAGAGTTCATGCCCGCGGGGGAAAGCGGCGCGGGCGCGCTGCGCTGCGCGGCCTGCGATTGCCACCGAAGTTTCCACAGAAGAGTCGTCGAGCGCGACGACGGGTTAACTGCATCGATGGCCAGCATAGACCGGGCTGCGCGAGAATTGCTATGTATGGCGAATACATCGTACACTCTGCTGCAGGGGGATGGGGGGAAATCGGTGGGCGGAGCGCCGAGCGCGAGCCCTCTGGCGCTTGGAGGGGGGGGGAGTGCGAAGCAGCAAGGGGGAGGGGGAGGGGGAGGGGGTGGGGATGGAGGGTCGGGATGTGTGAGTGTGCTGACGACGACGACTACGACCACCGCGACCACCACACCCCCAACGCCGTCGCCGTCGTGCTCGTCTCCGCCCTGCGGGGGGGATTTTCAGGCAGCGGGGGACCTCACGACGCTAGCGCGGCTTTCGCTGCAGGCGCTCGAGCATAGCGCGAAGATCATAACGGCAACGGCGGAAAGTCTGTCTCTTTTTCAGCGGCAGAATCTGAACAGACATGTGGCAATAGCTGGGACACAGCCAGGGTCGTCGTCGCCTTTAGTGGGAGTGGCAGGGCGGGCAATGATAGCAGGGGGAGTGGGAGG